AGCCTCGAACAATGGAAAGCGGAGGATAGAACCGGCGAATGCGTTACCAAAGCTTTACCGTGACATATTCGTCCTTCCTGACAGCAGCGAGCGCCCAGCCCGAAAATCGCTTTGAGTGGATCTGTGAGTGAGTGTGTGAGGCACCCGAGGTGCATCCTGGGATCATCCTGGGATCTCTTGGATCTGATGGACTGTAATCGGTCGTGGTACTGCAGGGGCTGCTCTTGTATGCCCTGGAAAGCCTGGAAAGCGTGGCTGGACTCGGTCTTGCTGTGTCTGCGTAAAGGAGTTCGGAGCGCTGAGGCCGAGCTGCCGTATCACCGTCTCTCACAGCAGCGTCTCCACCACTGGGTGCCGTGCCGTGGTAGGGAGTGCCGGGGCAGGGGCTGTCAGATGCCAGGCCAAGCTGTTGCAGGGCGTCACCACCGAGAATGCTGGAGACCAGAGGACGTAGTCGCCTTTTGATCAGTGGAAGTCGTGTGGGACGTAAGGCAGTCTGAGGCTTGAGGACGTCGTCCAGGACCTGCCCAGCACAACTCGGAGGCAACTTCCGGACCCCATCTCACCATCTCCATCCCTCGCCAAGTCGCCCGGGCCAGTCTGGACACTCAAGCACATCGCGAAAGCAGGGCAGAAAATGCGAGCCATCGCACATTGACGATTCGGAGCAGTCACAGTGGCGGAGAACGAGGCCAGCAAGACTTGCATGCCGCAGCCATATTGTGGCCCCACAGAAGCCTGCTTCAGCTGCATTAAGAAACGGTTGAATCACGTTTGACATAGCGGCACAGTGATTCCCGCCCATGAACATCGGGAGAAATGGCGAGACGCAAGACAGTCTTGAAAAGTGCCCCGCGAGCCAAGCCATGCGAGCCCTTCAAAGCTGAAGGTGCGAACATGCTCCGTGCTGCTGAAAACGGAAGAGCTGACGTTGCACTGCACTGCATTGGACTGGGAACAGCTCAGGTCCAACATGGACCTCGATGAGACAACGGGCCTGAGCAAGAGGGTGGGGCCTCATGGCCTGGAGCTTGTGTGAAAGGGCAGTAGCTATCCGTGGAGGCGAGCACGGTGCAAGCTCCCCCACAACATCCACAACCTCCTCTTGAACTTCCCGTCTGGCCGGGGTGGAAAAGGGTCGCTGAAAGTGTTTCAAACCCCTGGCTCTTGTGAGGCGCCGAAGTCAGACGGCGAAAGACATCTCCCCGATCCAAAAGCCTCGTGCTCACTGATGCTCACTTGCTCATCCTATCGCTCACTCTCGCTGAGGCGGCTGAATGAGGTGGACGACCATGATCCGGGAGGATTGATTTTTCCTCCACAGGCAGTGGAGGGGAGAAGAGCTCTGCATTCTGTGAGCCAAGACTTTGGGCTCAGGTTTCTGCGCGGCAAAACTCTCGGCTCGGGCCCTGGCAGCGGCGAAGTCTGGCCCTCCGCCTCCTCCGCCGCATCTCGCGACTGGCACTCGCAGGTCGGCCAGCGAGGCCGGATCCGGCATGGCCCAGGTGGGGAGAATGTCTGCATTTGTCTGCTCATGTCGGGGGCCCTTGCAAGAAGTCGCGAACAAAAAGCCCAGAGCCGAACTCCATAGCCAGCAAGCACCATTGTGCAGTCGGGCACCGTCTTCTGCTGCTCCAGGAGGCCGATCTTCGCCCGCCGAGCTGCGTGAACTTCCTGCTTTGCCTGGTCGTTTGCCTTGGTTTGTGCTCACAGCGACTGTTCAGACGTTCCCCCGTTTTTGACTGAGGTCAACCTGTGCATGGGGCTGCTGACGCCCACCATGGTCGGACACTCGGACACGTCCTCCACGTCTGAGTGGGATACCAGCGGGTCCGGCTCGTCAGGTGGACATGTCCCGCACGGCCATGCAGTACCAGCCCGGTGGGATAGGGGGTGCCAGGCACCCCCCCCCCCCCCCGTGGTCTCATCCTCTCACCACCTCGCTTCGTGCGACAGGTGCTTACCATATTCCACTGCTTCGGTAGTGATGGCGGAAGCCCTGGTGAACGTGGTCATCGGTTTTGCCGCCATCCGGCCGCTGGATGCAGCTACTGCAGTGCATCAAACGTACACTGGTACACATGGTCTTGCCCTCCACGACGTCTCAGGAAGAAGCAGGACAGCCGGCGCAAACTTTGGGATTGGAAGAGCCATAAGGAGTTCGTTGTGCTCACTGTGGCCGCAGCCTGACGCATTCGCGGTCCTTGTTCTGGCATGTCTGGCACCTTGGCTCTCCTCCTAGACCTACTGCCTGGGCGACGTGGTGGCCCTCTGTGCGATCGGCAGAGGCGGAGGCCGGAAGTGTCGTGGCTGCGACCATAGAGCACATGCGTGTGGCATGAGCCGTGGCGGTCTCAGGGCTGCTCTTCATTACCATGAATAACTCGAGGCCTCGTCGCTGCGAGGCTGCGAGTTTTTGCTGTGCAACTGCGACGCTGCAGGCTGCTCTTTGCTGCCGCAGCATCACACGTCATGATTGATTCCAGGCGTGTCTCAAGAGGCTTTGCGGAAACAAGGGGTGCTCTGTACTGCAGACTGTGCCAGGTCTCGCTGGGAGTGGTTTATCCTCTTCGCCATCTTTTCGTCCCTCATTTGCTTTGCAGTTCGGCCCTGAATCGAGTGCGGCCTCGTTGAATGATGTCCGTTTTGGCACATTTGCAGGCTGGGACGACTTCCGGGCAGGAGGCGGAGCTGAGAAGAGGTGCCGTGCTCGGGCGACTGCCTGCCCAAATGAGTCGGGGTTTCGGGGAAAGGCACGGTCTATGCCAGTGGCGCGGGGCCGAGGGGCACATCGCTCCACGGTGCTCGGCGCGGTACTGCGCGGTTTCGCGTTTTGCGCTCTGCTGCGCACTGCTCCAAGGCCTGGCAATGTGCAAGGCTGGGCTGTCGGCCTTGGCTGCGGTGATGACGGAGCGGCGCCTTAAGCACTGCCAGTGCTGGCCCTGGGCGACCCGAGAGCGAGAGGGCCACGAGCTCTGTTTCGGACGGAGGTTCACGGTGATGGAGGCGAATACTTTGCTAAAGATGCAGAGCCTTATGGCATGGGCCCCGGGGACGGGAGAGAAGATAAGCAGAGAGTAACAAAGCCACAATGTGACGTCTCAGGTCTCTTTGCTGGTCTTCACTGTCCAGATGCTTTTCCAGGAGGCAATTGCAGCTCGCGCTTTACAGCTTTATCAGCCGTCGCTCAGCCGTCGCTTCAAGCACAGGATCTCTGCCCAGAGGACAAGGCACTTGTGACCACCCCCTGCGTGGACAGGAGGTGCCCGAAGAGCTTGTGCGGCATGCGGGGCTGCGTGAATCTGCGCGACCGGCGCTGCTAAGGGGCTGGGATGCTTACACGGCCTTCGTGCTTTTGGCAGAGGACGCCTCTGAACCGCATTCCACGCCACAGCTACGCGAGCGCGCGCTGTGCAGGTGGGCAACGGCTGGCTGTCGGTGGCTATCCTGGCACGCACTTCTCTGAGTGGAGTGTGCGGAGTGAGCCGAGTGAGTCGAGTGAGTCGAAGTGAGGAATGTCCGCGATTGTGAAGTTCGTCTGCAAGGCGGCGGCGGCGCGAGATGCCAAGCGCAGCCAAGCGCAGCCAAGCGCAGCCAAGCGCAGCCAAGAGCCTCGCGGAGCGGAGCGGCTGAGGCCCAGTTTGTACGTGGTCTACGTGGCAACGAACTTCCGGCAGCACCACTTTGAGGTCCGTCGCTTTGTTGCCTCAACCCTCAGAGCCCTAGACATGCGCAGACAGCAGACGCATCAGATCAGATGCCGCAGTCGCACTTTGTGCTGAGTGTTTTGTCATGGCATCTCCTCTTGTCATCTTGTCACTGACTCCGCATTTGCCAGTGGGCGACCTTCGTGCCGATCCTCGTCATGACAGCCCCGGGCCCGGCCTCATCCTCGGCCGGCGTAACTGGTTCGCCACTCTCTTCTCAGGCCTTCATTTGCCTCTATGCCGAGCCACGCTGCTGCTGTCCAGCTCGAAAAGAGCCAGTTGCGGGTGACTGGCCTGGCAACTATCATCGTGGCAAATCGTGAGGATTTCTCAGGTGCCATCGAAAGGACTTCCCGAATTCCGGTTGTCCCTCCGTTGGACACAGGGTGATTCACGTTCCTATACGCTTTTTGCCCGATTTTCCCAAAGTTTCGAAGCGTTCCAGTCTGCAACGGGCTTGCGACGTGTTGTGGCCATCCTGCGACGCCAAAGCATGGCGAATGCCACGACCAAGGAAGCCAAAGAATGCAGGGTGGCTGCTAAACAAGGAAGACCTAAGCTCTTTGCTTGGGGCATCTGCATACGCCAATCAACATGCAGCCGTTTGGCATGCCAAAAAGCCATGGAGCGTCTATGGCTTCTGCTCCTCCCTGCTGCTAGAGCAGTGCTTTGGACAAAGATGTGCATGTGGCTGCTTGAGGTTAGCTGGAACTCTGCCCCCCAGTTCCAGATGTTGATCTAGACGCAGCGCCTGAGGTCGTGCATGATGCTTACTTCATTGACTCCCTTCAGAAAAACAACGAAACGTGGCGTGCCGAAGATGCTGAGATCAACCAAAAGCTGAATGCGCTGGAGCCTTGCCAAAGACTGCTGCTTCTCGCAGTGCAGAGTGAGTTTCCTTGACTGAACATTGCGCCATTGCACCAAGGAAGCTCGATTCCGAAAGAAGCCCAACATCATCTACATCTTAGCAGCTTGCTGGTGCTCAGCAAAGAGCAAAGCAGCCAACATCCCCTAGCAGGGCTGGTTATTTCATATATGAGACATTATGGCTATGCCGTATATGGCTGACAAAATCATACTGTCCTCGCATGTCCAAAATTCTGACCGTCCAGGAAAGCTTTTGAAAGTAAGCTCTCCCAGAGCTCCAAATCAATATTATGTTGCGGAGCTGCAGAACAATCATGGCATGTGAATACGCATACACTGTGCTTGTTTGACAGGTGGAGAAACGGTGGCAGGGCAACTGCCTCAGAAGTGAAGCGATGCATGTCTCGTCATGCACCGATTGGGTTCGAGCAGGCCGTAGATCTGGGCAGGCAAGTGCCAACCCCATGTCGGGATCCCGGGCAAGCCCAAACACAAGAGCACGGCGGGACTTGCCTGCTCACATCTACGGCCTGCTCGAATCCACGTGGTGCATGACGCGACATGCCTCGTTTCACTCCTGACGCAAGGTTTAAACAAACATATTGTATGTTCACATGCAGGAATTGTTGTGCGGCTCCATGGAAGCTTCACAGCATCTTGACGTGGAGACGAGCCTAATTGGTCAGGCTAAGTCCTTCCCCATGCTTCGCCTGATCTCGTTTCACAGGGTTCCAGGACGAAAGCTACTGCTTACGGCATGCCGCCAGCACGTTTTTCAAGATGTTAGGCCGCATGTTTCATGTTCATGGTGTGTCCAAAGCCCTGTGGTGTGAGTGTGTAATTGTGCTTTCAAACGTTTTGCCCATGCAGTAATTATGCCGCGAGCATGTCGTTTCTGCATCAAACGTCCGGGCTTGTTTTGGCCAGATTCCTGGGCTATGTTGTCTATGTGTACTGTCTAATTCGGACCCCGCGGTTTCAGGTTTGCAGAGCGTATTGATTACGGTCTTCCTGTTAGTCGCAGTACAGTCTTGAACAATGCGATAGGTCAATGACGACAAGCCATCACAAGCACCTGTACGTAGAAACCCTGTTGACTGCTGTTGGCTCCCTGTCTCTTTCCTGAGCACCAGCAAGGCAGACGACATTGGCTGGGGCGAGTTGGGATGGCAGGGTGGGGGCAAGCACCGTGGAACACCCACAGATGGATTGGATGCCATGGCCTTCGAGGGCATGCGGTTTTGGTCTTCCTACGCCGAGCCTTCCTGCACTCCCTCCAGTGCCTTGTCGGCCTTGGCATTTTTTGTGAAGCAGCAAAGTGTGACCACTGTCAGGAACGGCTATCATGACAGGCCGCCACCCTGTGCGGACGGGTCTATTGAAGGCGCGAGCGACCTGTAGCACTCGGCCTGTCAGCGGGCTCCTATGGTTCAGGTGCTGTGGCCTGGCCAGACAGACGGCCTCTCGCCCGAGGAGTTCACCCTAGCCGAGGCCGGGGACTTCGGGACCGGGGGTGTTGTTGCCAGTTTCTGGGCCCTTCTGAGAGGCGCTCTCGGCGGCCGGTTACCATACCGTCGCTTGTCTATTGCTGGCGGCACGGTTCGTTTCTTCTCCCGAATATGACGAACTGGAAGCTGAGGCCATGTGGGGCAAGTGGCGACTCGGCTGCACAAAGTCTTTCATGTCTCGTGCTGCCAAAGCTTCATTCGTCCTGTGATCGTCTCTGGCAAGGCACTTGGGGGAGCTGCCGGAGCATGCTCCAGAAAACCAAGGCCCATCGAGCACATTGGGGAGAGCTTGCCAGCTGTTGACTCTGCAAGGCTTCGACTACGCATATTACGGTCTGTTCAATGGGGCACCGGACAATTGGCCGGAGTCTCATGACGCCTGGCCGACAGTGGGCGTGCGCATATCGTCATCCTGGTCATAGCGAGGAGTAGAGTAGATGCGATGAGGACATGTATGAGTCCTCGCCCAATGCCCACCGTGGAATGTTCTACGACTTCCCCGGCGTAGAGGCCTGGAGGAACATGGGCCGCTCTTCGGAGCGAGAGCTGAAGCTCTGCCCGGCCCCCAAGGCGTATCGAGAAGAGACGGGCATCGACCTCTCGGAGCGCTCGGATATCGGCTTCGCTGAGATGACTTCGCTCTCTCGCTCTCTCTCTCCTCCCCTCTTTCAGGAGTGCGCCTTTGTCGGACGCCGCGGAGAGCCGCGGCAGCGACTCGAGGGCCCGGCCGGGACGCTGGGCCCCCGCAGGCGAGCCGTCGGGCCAGACGCATCTCCGAGCATGTGACCTCCGACAGCCGACTGCCGGTGCAGGCAGGAGTACTTCGAAGAAGAGTCCATCAATCAGATCACCAGGCACACCAGGCGAGGGGCTGAAGCTTGCGGCCTGCAAAGTCTTGGAGGTACGTGCAGGAGAAGGCCAAAGACGAGAAGCCCTTCTTCATCTACTGGGCGACCTACACGCAGCAACTGCAAGGCCCCGTCACCTCATAGCGAAGCCCCAGCTTTCCTGAAAGCGCAGAGCCTCAGGTTCGACACCGCAGATGAAGGATCCACATGTCGACAAGGCAAATGCACAGGCGTCGATGATGGCAGCACACAGCAAGTACGTTACTCGGCTACTGGAGACCTTGAAAAAGGTCGACGCCTCAGAAAAGCCACGTCGCTCGCAGCTTTGCTCTGCTCACCTCCACCTGTCTTTCAGGAGGGCATTGCGGAGAACACCCTGGTAGTTTGGCGGGGACTGCTCGTGTTCTCTGAACATCTGTCATATGAAAGGCACATCACGCGGCACCTTCGGCCAGGTTCAGCGACAACGGGCCAATGTATGCCTTCTTCCCGAACTCAGGCAGAAAGCTGCACAGGGTGCCCCAAACACAAGAAGTCCCTTTTCAGGCTACTCCTGGCTGCGGGGCGGGAAGGGCACTGTGCTGGAGGGTGGCGTGCGGGTGCCGGCGATGGCCTGGTGGCCTGGGATGATCCAGCCTCGGCAGGCAGGGACCTCTGGGTTTCAGGTCTAAGCTCAGTGGCGCAGCCATGCTCCATTCTGCCTATGGGCCTATGTGATGTCAGGATCCTGTGGACCTGCTCCACCTCACCGCGCTCCGCCTGCTCTGCTTTCCCCTTGACACGGGCACTTGACGTTCCTCTCGCTCTCGCCTTTAGGATCTTTATACCACGGCTGCTCGCCTGGGTGGTGCGTTGTCCCACATACCCGAGGAGATCGCATGCAGACATCATTGCGCTCTGGTGGTTCCCCTGTTTCGGCAGGATCGCGTCTTGGACGGCGTCGACCAGGCCTTTGCTGCTGGCAAGCTGCGCCCCGATCATCGGTTCCTCCGAACTCCGAACAGGCCCCGTTGCTCCTCCTGGGTGAAGGCCATGGGCGGAGGAGCCTGGATAACGGGAGGGAGACCTGCCCAATGCAAAGCAAAGCAAGGCAAACACTGCAAGATGGGAAGACCAAAAAACCCCTGATTCAAAAAGACTTAAACCTTTCAGGAGCACTATGTTCCACTACAGCGGCAGTGAGTGGGGTCCCTGGAAGCCTAGTGTGCCGTGGGCATTCGGGAGCCCACACCTTGCAAGGTTGGGCGCGATTCGCCACAAAGACTTCAAGGTCCACTTGAAGGAGAGCAAGGGAGGATTGCCGAACATGGAGTTCTACAACGTCAGGAGGGACCCAGGTGAGAAGTACGGAGAGTTTTACAAGGGGCTTTTTGCAGTAACGCCGATTCAGCGGTTTGTCCAGGCCCACAAGAGGCACATGCATCGGTTTCCGAATCGGGGCGAGCTCGGCGAGACTGACATGGGATCTTGCCCGCCGCATGCTTGATGTTTTAAGACTTTAAGACCCTGACGAGTTTAAAGAAGCGGCCAGCATGTCGGCTGCAGTTTGAGGTTAAAGTTGTAGCATAGCGGTCACCAGTACCGATTTCGGGATGCTGGGTGTCTGCGCCGTCGTGCGGGCAAAAGGCATTCCGCAAGCTGAGGCAGCTTTCAGGATGAGAGGCTGCACCAAAAGTACATCGAAGCCCTGTGAAGCTCTGCCATCTTCCAGCTTCAAGAACGGAGAGCCCCTTAAGGGCAGAGGCGCGCGCCTATGCCGACGAGCAGGGCTTCGCAGAGCCGAGACGACTCTCCGAGCCTGGGCCCGAGCCGCGAGCGGAGCAGAGTGCGACGTTTGCGGCGACGTTTGCGAGCCTTTTCTTTTCTCCTCTCATTTGGCGCCGAGGCCTTGGCTCCGATTCGAAGCAGCCGGGCAGACAGGCCGAGCACCGCGTCGTGAGGACGCAACAAAGGGACGTACGACGTGTGCCACATCGATGCGATGTGACGGGGGTTCGCGTTCGCATGCACCGGTCGAAGCTCTGTCCCGCAACAGGTTGTCAGGGACTGCCGTGACAATGCCAGATCGCGCAGTACAGCTCACACCCAAAGCGCAAGGAAGCGAGCAAGCAGCTGCGCATGGGGCAAGCAGCACCAGCAGCAGCGGGGGAAGGTAGAAGTCTGCAAGACGTAGAAAGAAAGCAGAAGGGAGCGAGGATCGGCAGCCGCTTGCAGTCTTCCGGCGGTGTGTTCGAATTCTTATCATAGTCGGACTTTGGGCTGTCGAGGCTCAAGCGAGATCGAAAAAGCGGCACGGCCACAGCGGCAGCCATGGCTTCAGAAGACGTAGGTTTAGAAGCGGACTGGAGAGCCAGCGGCGAGCCGACCAGCAGCATCGCCAAGGCGTTGAAAGGCTGCTGATTTGGCTCGAGGGCGGCGAGGTTCGGAGTTCGGGCCAGTGGATGGGTCTGGAGACTTGGGCGCAGCTGAATGTCACCAGGACCTCTTCTACCGCAGCTCCCCACTTGAGCGCAGCCTTACCATCGGGATCTTTGGGATCCTGGTCGTGCCCCAAGTTCAGCAAGCAGAGTGAGAGTATACATCTCGTTTGGTGTCATGACGGCTGCGACCCGTTCTCTACAGGGAAGTCGTGAGCTTTTCAACATAGCATTGTTCGTGCAGCAGAGGCAACAGCACACGCAAACGTGCTTGAGGTGTTTGTATGTTAGGCACAACTAAGGATGTGGGTGCTGTATGAACCCACGGAGATTTACCGCAGCACAGTGGCTGTCGAAGAAGGGCCTGACGGCCTGACGGCTCTTGTTTTTCTTCAGTCAGGTTGCCAGCGTGGGATTTGCGGCCTTCTCCAACTGCCGACGCCTTCGTCTCCGCTCCTGGGCTCGTGCTCTCTGCTGCTCGGCTCGGCTCTCTGAGGTCTCGGCGACCGCTGCGCGTCGGAGCGAGCGCGCAGGCAAAGCTTGGCCTCGGAGGTGGCGAGGCCGGTGCCGGAGCCCAGCCTAGCCGGCCTAGCCTCCTAAGGTCCTACTGTAAGGCCCTCCCGCTTTTTTGGTCTGCGTGGGAGGCTCCGCAGTGAGCTGAGCGTGTACCCAGTGCACCCTGCCCGGAACTCAGAGAGAGAGCACATGCCCGAAAGCACGCGAAGCACGCGGCCCGCAGCCAGGGAATCTTACCGAGGCCTTGGCCTCCGGCGCTTTCTCTGCAGGCCACGGCGCAGCGGAGACAAAGAGCAAAGCGTGGTTTCTTTCGCGATGGCTCGGTGTTTGGGCAGGAGAAGACCTTCCGCAGAGGCCATGTGAGAGCTGTGAGCTGTGAGTTGCGGGACGTCATTCCTTGGTGCCCGTGTCCGTGAGGCCAGAGCCAGAGCCAGAACCTGCTTATGCCCCCGCTTTTCACCTGCGGGGGGCGGGGGCGGCGGTGAGTGAGAGCGAGGCCGACCTGGGTATCGACGGAGCCGATCCCTAAAAAAGTTCCTCTCGAGCGCCCTCAGCCTCCGTTGCATTGGGCTTTCGCTGACGCCGAAGCGGGACTCCTCGGGCCAAAGAGATTTTCTCAGAGCTTTGGGCCGCTTACGCCACTTCTCGTGGGCCGTTTCGGCTCCAGCAGAGCTGCGCCGACGTTCCGTCGGTTTCCGCCCAGCGCCCACGGCCCACCAGGCGGCCCGAGGCTCAAGTCAGGCCAAGGCCAAGGCCAAGGCTCCCAGCGCTCCCAGCGCTCGCAGCGCTCAGCGGGCAGTCCAGGAGTGCCAGGAGTGCGTGGAACGCAGTTTGCGCTGCGCCGAGGAAGTGGCGGAAGCTTTGCCATGGTCGGGGGGCCCTTCTAAGGGGTTTGGGGGAGGGGGGGTTCTTCCGAAAGAGATCTTCTTCGGTCTGTGTTACCAGGTCCGAGCTTTGGCTTTGGCGGCCGTGGCCTCTCCCGTCCTCTGAAGTGAGAATGTGAGAGGTCCTTCTCTGAGATGTCTCTCAGGCTCTGGCCTCTCTGGCCCGAGCGCAGAACTGGCCCGCGTGTCAGGCTGCAATGTGTGCCGTCTTCTGCACTTCCACCACTTCCTGGACTCGCCAGGAGCAGAACACTGTGATTCGAAACGCGGGAAAGGCGCTCTTCACGAACCTGCAAGGTGCGGCCACCCTGGCCTCCCAAGAGCAAAGGCTGAGAGGGGAAGAGGGGAAGACTGAGAGGTTACGGCGCAGTCATCGGCTGCTTCCTCGACGATTGCATGAGTACCCGCCCCGGGTTGCTCTTGATTTCTGGAGGTCTTGACCTGCAGTTTGCTGAGGCAGCGACAAATTCGTGGCTAATGAGATCGAGTCCTGCGCAAAGGCTACAGTAGAGTCTTAAGACAAGACTCGGGTGGTCTGCTTGGTGATGCTTTTGGAAGGTGTGCTTCTCCTTGCCTGAGCCAGCGCCCTGGGAGGGATGGGAGCAGATGGAGAAAGCAATTGCAGAGGGTCGCCGGACTTTTCGTGTTTCAGGTGCACGCATTGGGTGTGCGTCCCAGAATCTGTGGATGAGGTGGCTATTCGGCTATTGCATGCTTTTGTTGAGGTGTGGGGAACCGAGGAGGGTGAGCAAAAGTGCGGGGCCAAAGCTGCGCTGTGAACGGTTGTCAGCGATTAGTCTCTGTGCCAGGTGCTGGTTCCGAACCGGTGACGATGGACGGGAAGCAGGTCCAGCGCTGAGAGTGCCGGGTTTGTACAGCTGGAGAGCTGGTGCTGGCGTGAGTCTGGGAGGCGAGGGCTGGATCTCCGGGTCCAAGAGTTGCTACCCACCCGGTACGACAGCCGCGAGCCGAGCCGGCGACAGAGCGAGGCTAGAGAGAAGCGAGGCTGAGAGGCTGCTAGCACAAGCTTCTTCACTTCGCGCGCCTCTTCTCGCCGAAGCGGGGGTCCCTCCCAAATCCCGGCCTCCGACTCATCGAGTCGGAGGGCTCAGCACCTCGGTGCCTCGGTGAGTCGGATTTTCCCTCGCGAGAGAGGGCACTCCACGAACGCCCCGAACGGTCCATAAAGGAGTGAGAGACGTGAGAGACTCTTTGTGTCTGTCTCATGGCCTTCAAAGCCTTGCTTTGGTGCTTGCGTCACCCCAGGTGCTACCCTTGGGCAACTCCGAGTGCCCGAGACTCGTGGAGCATGTCGCAGATGTCTTGATGTGTAGCCTGTGGGCAGACTTCTGGTCAGGCTGGGCCGAGGGCTTCGGCTATGAGAACTGCTGCGAAGCGAAGCAAACCTGCCGTGACATTTGTACTAACTGTAGAAGTGTCTTACATAGCCGCGACTCCTGGCAGGGCTCGAGATGTCGATTCTTCCGTTTGCGTCGCCAGGTTCGGGCCCAACGGCAATGCTCAGTGCTGGGATGGCGTCTACAACTACGACCGCCTGGGACTCTCAAAGAGCACCGAACAAGAGGATCCTAGAGAGGTAGCCATTTTGGCACCAGAGAGGTTTTGGTTCAAGCGATGGGGGCGCAGACTGCAAAGCCGGGAGACTACTCTAAAACAGATCATTTGGGTACTCAATTTGTTGCCAGTTTCGGGGATGCCCTGCAAGATGGCGCCCGTGGCGGTTTTGTTTGCGGGGGCCAGCGGGATCCAGATATATCTGTGCTTGATTCCTAGGTCCCATGTTCTTGCTTTGCATGTTGGGGGGGGGGGGGGTGGCCCGGGACTCGAGAGCATATATATTAATATATATATATATACACACACATACATATGTATATACACACATACATGCACATATACATACACATACACACAAACGCACACACGTGATGCGTGCTGTACTTTGTTCCATCTGTTTGCCAGCTGAACGCCCGAGCCAACGTGGTACACCCGAGAGTTGTTACGGGCTCTTCAATCCGGTTCTGCTGTGTTGCAGCGCGAGACAGTCGCAACCCCTTTTAGAGAAGTACCTGTGAGTTTATTGTTGTCTGCGAAGCAGAGCACGGCTCGGGGCGACTGAGGCATCGTTCACAGGTGAAGGAGGCCACCTTGTAGATGTCCAATCTAAGGGCATGGAACTCTCACTTCGAAAGATGTGCAGTGACCGCCAACTGGGGGCCCGCGTGTCAGTATGCTTCGTTCTTCTAACAGTTCTTCCGCAGTCTATTGGCGGTGTCGGGGCGAAACCTGTCACAACCCCCATGCATCCAGCCAACCTTGGGCGTCTCCCAAGCCTGGTGAAAGAAAGGAAGCAGTCGCTGACCCCTCTGGCTTGGATAAGGTGCCCCAGCCTTGCAGTGATTTCATGACAGATACTCGATTCGCAGTCATATCCAGTAAACTCTCGTCGACTTGCTGGGACGAGAGCCTGCCCTGTAGAAGCATGGAGCCTTGGGCAGAGCCTGGTTGCCGGAATGCCAGCTCGGCCGATCGGGGCGAGGAGTGATCCCCCGTAGCCCGAGAAAGCCTCAAGCGCGCGCGAGGGAGGGAGAGAGACGGAAAGGGAGGTGAGTCTCAAAGATCATGTCCTTGCTATCACATGCGCTGAGTGGCCGAGGCTGTTGCTTCCCAAAAGAGGAGCTCTAGGCACGGTGTTGACATGACAGAGAGAAGTGCTGCTGATGTGCTGCTGGACCATCGGGCACCTGCCAGGGTTCTGATCTGTGCGGGTGAGAGGGGATAGGAGGTGTGGCATGCGAAGCGCCGAGAGCTCTTGATGGTCTCGGGGCAGAATACGGGCCCCAAAGGCCCCAAAGTGAGGACCCAGGTGCCAGGAGAGATGTGACCGTGCCGTAGGCCTCAGAGTCACCCAAAGCACACGGTGCGCGGTAGGGAGGCACCTGGACCCGAGCTGTGTGCAAATTGCGCCGAAGGATTAGACTAGACCGATTAGTAGGCAAGCGAGTGGTCGCAGAAAAGCACAAATGTTTTGCGGCCTCGTAGCTGAGATGGCGCTGCAAACGGCTTAGTGGTGATACAAATACAGCGATGGTTCAGTTTCGGCCGGAGACATGGAGTATCACGCATGACGGAGGGCCATGAGCAGGTTCACGGTAAGAGAACTCCCTGAAATTTTGGACCACACTTGACACTCGCAACAGGATTCGCAACAGGGCAGCAGGAACAGATAGGAGAAGTGTGGCCTCTACATGAGCGGAATCCCATGCTGCGCGCCCTTCGGCAGCTGTACCTCGGAGGCCAGATCTGTCCCTCTCTCTGTTCTCTCTCTCTCTCTCTCTCTCTCTCTTTTTGTGTACCAGCACCACAGGCTTCCTTGCAAGACCTAGGTGATGGGTGGTAAGCTGAGTAGCAGTACCATGAATATCGATTACACTGATTCCGACTCTGTTACCTCCGAATGGCATCATCAGCTCAAAACTCAGGCTCGGCGACCCTGAAGGGACAAACTCTTTGTACTTGCGCACGGCCTGGAGATTCGGATGGTGGTTGATGATGAGATTTCCAGTACTATGCGAAAATTCAAGCAGATGGGCCATTCTGATTCTCACTGCTCCCAGACTGCGGGGGTCTCCAAGCGAAGGAGAAGGAGAGGCAAGAAGGGGAGACACCAAACGACGCAAGCCCTGCGGGCGGGTACTTGAAGAAGAAGAACAACAACAACAGAGAGAGAGAGAGAGAGAGAGCGACTCCTCGAGACTAGCCGTATAAGTAAGAGAGTGCTTGATTTGTTCCTTGGCCTTCCTTACACCGCCCTACGTACCTCTTCTGGCATCTTCTGGCCTTCGTGATGCCTCGCGAGGAAGTCGTAATATGCACGAGCGGTGGCGAGGCAGTGCTTGCGATAAAGGTCGGCATTTCCTGTGGACATCTTGCTTGCTTCGGAAAGGTCGAGAATGTCGAGGGCTTCATGCATGTGATCGATGAGGAGGAGGCGGGTGTCGATGCCGAGCAACGCCGTTGGTCTGCTCTGTAGCTTGAATGTGATGGCAGGATGTGCCATTGCTGTCAATCACACGTCCGAGGCTCAGTACGGTTCCCCGAAACATCTTGTGCGCAAGAACCTGAGTGCCCGCCGCAAGTGAAGCTATTGGACAGGTGGCCTGGTGACCATTGCCGACTACGTCACGGAGCTGCAGCCAGAGGAGGATGGAGTGCATTGCTCGGCTTGCCTCAGCTCGGCCCACGGAGGAACTCAGCTTCGGCTTAGGTCGATGCCTTCCCGTTGCCTCACCCTGCCACGTCCTCCATGCCGCCGGACGGATTCACCGCCACCGTGGCCACCCAGAGTGCAAGGCGCCCGGTCGAAGAAAACAAGCGCCCTTTAGTCGTTTAAGTGCCGAGGTCGCCTTCACCGCCGTGGTACCTGCCGATGGTTCGCCGATCCTTGTGGCCCCCTTGGACCTCAGCTCGGCTCTGGAGAGCTGCGAGTCGTAAGGTCGAGATCCAGGACTTCAAGCTGGAGGCGAGGCTCCGGCTCCGGCTTTCCTCCCGATTTCCTCCCTTTTGCGCTCTCGCGACACGGGCGACATGGGCGACAGCGAGGTGAAAGCACCCCCAGAGTCCCGGCCGGGTGAGTCGGAGACTTGAGATGCAGAGCGGTGCGAGCGCAAGTGCGACAGACAGCCCCGTTGAGGCGGGTCACCTTCGACCTGAGTGCACCTCCCAAGTACGAGGTCAAGGTGGGAGCGAGTCGGTGAAAAAAGCGCCCGGGCCGGGGGGTCTCCTCGCAGCACTTTCGCTTGTGTCCCAGGTGCCTCCAGGTCCCGGCCTCGGTGGGGGGGGGGCCTCGCTTCTGTCTCCTCCGCCTTTCCCCTTCTTGGGCCTTTGCCCCTTTTCCGAGGCTTCAGCTCGGGATCCTTCATCCGGTATCTGGACAGCCCGCAGCCAAGCGCCCTGCGAAGCTCTGCGAAGCTCTGCTTTAGCGCAGCCTCTCGCTCCCTTCGCCTTCGTGTCAGGCCAAGGCAGGTCCCTGCAGTTTCAGATTCCAGCAGGCGCACCTTTCGGCAAGGGCCAGGGCCCGCCCAAGTCTACAACCTTCGGCAGCTGCAGGCAAAGGACCTGGCGATTCCTTCACGGTCTTGCCCACATGCATGGTCGTGCTTGTGCCGACCCGAGTTCAAGCATTCGCCGTGACAAAAGCGACAGCTTGAGTTCAGGACAAAGCCTTGACCTTCAGGTGCCGCCTTCGGTGCAAGCCGGGGAGTTTCTGGCCTTCAAAGGCCAAGGCAACTGGAAAGACTTGTGGCTCGCGGTCATGGTTCCGCACGCGCCCGCGCCTGAACGGGCCTGAGCCCGATCCGCCTCTGTGGAGCAGCCATTTGGGCACGGTTCTTAGATTGAAGGATCGCGCCTGGAGGGCATTTCCCAGTGAGGCGCGCCCGGCCGCCCCCCCCGGCCTCAAGAGCCCCAGTGAGTTCGGACTCTGCAAGGCTGCCTCCCAAATGCGACAAGCGGACAGGCCCCCTCGCCGGGCGCGTGAGGGACAATAGTCAGCTCCCACATTTCTGCAAAAGGTACCTTGACAAACAAGGACCTCATCAATGCCATCTCTGTCTTTGGCTTCAAGGTGTAGGTGTGCAGTAGTGGACAGGGCCGTAGGCGCTTGGTGATCCAGGGGTTTATTCGGAGTTTGAAGCGTGCAGCGCGATTCGAATCTCAGGCACAACCTGTGTTTGCGCACTCTTAATTCAGAGAGCTGCCAAAGGCAACCCATGGAGAGGCTGAGGCTTGCGAAGACGCAGGAAAAAGTGCGGCCTTTTGGTTTTACATGGTTTTACCAGCTCTGCATACATGCGCTTACGCTGATACTGGAACTAATACTCCCTGGTCCGAGCCCGAGCATTGGCTGCAGTGAAAGCGTGGAGCAGCCAGATTTCCTTCTTCCAGGTGGGCACTTCTTATCACACACACGCACGCGCGTGTATAGTAGCTTAGAGTATGGTCTGTTCTAGTAGCAGTAGTAGTAGTAGTAGTAGTAGTAGTAGTAGTAACTCTGTGTAGAATACAACGAAGTGCAGGACGACAGCACAGCACAGTACCTTTCTTACAGCACAGTATAGTACGGCCCGCAAAGCACAGTATCGTATGAATCATAGAATACCGTATAGTAGTTTTTTCGCAATGTGGTAAGTTGTTTGGTCCGGGTGCATCGCAGCGGCAGGTATTCCGCAGCAGTTCGACTTAAGCTGTCCGTCCCCACGCTGTGGGCGAACAGCTCGCATTGTTTGAAATGGTGCACTTTTAGGATAGTAATGTAAAGTGAAGTTTACTGTAGCATAGCATAGTATAGTACTGTAAAGTACAGTAAAAATGGAGCAGTAGAGTATAGCAATATATAGCGTAATATAGTATTGTATTGTATAGCATAGCAAAGTATATGGTAGTGCGTGCACGGGAAGATAGAAGGCATAGCTGAAACGCTGTCGCCCATGAAATTTGGTTGTTCAAGGTCAAAGGTAGGCCGGTCTGCCATGAAATTCGAGGCACTCTTGACTGCGCTGCTTTTTCGAGCTGTCGAGGTTGGACTGCGAGAGCCACGGAGCGAAGTTGAGGTACCTGCTGCTGAATCTACTTGCCATTGCTATTGCGAGTGCTTCTTTATCGGAAACCACTGGTTGGTACTTGCTCTGTTGCTCAGTCTGAGTGCCCACGGCGTGTTCTGGTGGAGGCGTGTTAAGCCTGAACCCGACACTCTTTATCATGGCAGCCCTCGATGCAAAGGTGGAGGAGTTGTCGTCTTGGCTGGTAGGGGATCAAGTCCTGGATGGGTACGAGGACGACATCATGTGGCATGAACAGGTTTTGATATGGAAGGGAAGGTCGCCCAACGGGTGGTATGTTCTCACCCCTGATCTGGACCTCTATGAGCAGGACTACGGTTCTACTGATGAAGGGCCATCCAAATTCCGAATCAAAGGGAAGCAGGTGCAGTACTACTCTAGACTTTCCCGGCCGGTTTACAAGTTCACAAAGGACCCCACCGAGTCCGAGATGAAGGGCTACATCGAAACAGCGCTTGACGAGATGGGCCATCGAAACAGCGCTTGACGAGATGGGCTACACCGAGGTCCTCATGGATGGCTGGCGTCCGGCTCATGTGAAGGTGTCGAAGCACATTGTGGCCACGTCGGTCATGTTGGGCCAGCGGTTCGTCCCGAGGAGGCTCACTCGAGGCGAGGCTGGCAATGCTTTGCCCGGTCCTACGCCGGAGGCGGAGGGGGCGGCAGATGGAGCTGTCCCTTACACCTTGGTCAGGATTCGTTCTGGCGCCGGGAAGTGCTGGATTGCCACCGAGAGCATGGATGATGTCGCGCGGGGCCAGGTGGTGTCGGTCAACCCTGAGAAGGACTTGATGCTTGGGGAATTCACGGGGCTGGTCTCTAAGGCTTCTGGTTGGCTGAAGGTGGAGATGATCGGCGAGTCGGAGGTTGAGGACTTCAAGAAGGAGCGAGATCTGGAGCACCCACCTCCTGAAGGTGCCGAGGCTGCGGATGGAGACGAAGGGGACGCGCGGACCTTGTTCGTCGACTATGCCGAGCAGGGACTTCGTCACAAACCCTGGCGCAAGGTGTGCATGGACTCACGGGAGTTCCAGTTCTCTGACTGGGCCCATGAGGGGCCTACCACGGTGCTCTTCCCCATCAAACAGATGGAACGCAACGGCGGAAGTCCAAAGCTTTGGTTGGACATCTGGAGCCGAGCCCGTGGCGTTTCGGAGAATGATCGGGCTAAACACGAGCTGCGTTGTTTGTGCGAGGCGCTTCAGAACGCTGGGAGCCTGGAGTGTCTGAACCTCCCTGCACTCAGTTGCATGGAGACCATATCCCGGAAGGATTCAATCCATCGTCGATGCATACAGCGCCGCCGGAGCTTCGGGAGTCCCTGACTGGTCCAACGCCAGGCTCTTCTCAGGTTACCAGGCCCCGGAAGACGTCATTGCCCCTCAACTCAAAACCTGGGCTGCTCGACATGGAAAGGAGGAAGTGGAGCTCCAGAACGCGCGGACCAGGATGAAAGAGTTAAAGCGCAACGGCCAGCCGGCTGTGTGGAGGCTGCCACCGTGATCGCGGAGGGCAACGCTCCGGCTGGGGGGCCGGCCCCACGCAAGCGAGGAGGAGGCCGCAGGCGCCGCTTGGAGGCGCCTGCGGCGCCATGACAAACGGCCAAGGGCTGCGTGCGAGATCTTTCCTTTGCCTGTGCCGGATCCACTAATGCCAATAAAGTGTCGAGGCAGGCGAGGCCAGCAGAGGTGGGATCGTCAAAGGCGAATTAATTTCGAGCTGAGGGAAAGATCTTGGCTCCAAGGGTGCTGGATCGGTTACGTCGCCTTGTTATGGATGGTGGAGAACTCGGTTCGCTTGAGCGTCCACCTGGATTCGATGCAGCCCTGAAGGAGCTGCTCAAGGGTCGGTCGGAGTACAGTTCTGATTGCCCCACAACCTTGGCGCCCTACAACCTAGACCTCATCTCTCTGCCCGCTTCTTTGGGTGATTGCCCGGAGGCGGTATCCTTGTTGTCAGGGAGTGACCGTCTGTATTTGGAGGAGCAAGAGCGCATGATCCTGGCGGACAACCACCCAGATCCTTTGTTCAGACCTTATTGGGATCCGTCTCTGAGGTCTAGTGCCCGCAACTACCGGAAGTTCGTGCAACGTCTCGATCAGATCCAGTACCTAAAGTATACGCTTTACCCCAAGGAGCACGCGGGCGTCTTCTTTGTGTGGAAGTCCGGGAGGCAAAAAATTCGCATGAAAATTGATGCTCGCGCTGCCAACCGTCGCTTTAAAGATGCGCCTGGTGTTGATCTCTGCACTGCCGAAGGCTTCTCCCACTTCGAGGTCGAGCCCGAGGATTCAGCCGCAGCCTATGCGGAGGGGCTGGACACTGCCGAGCGTTTCTCTTTGCATGTTGGCCTGTCCGATGTTAAAGATGCCTTTCACAGAATACGACAGCCGGATTGGCTCGCCAGGTGTTTTTGCCTGCTGCCATCGAAGCTCGACGTGTTGGACTCACAGGCCGGTGGCTGTGGACGGGCATCTCCTAAAGGGAAGCGACTTGGTCTTCCCTATGCCTGGAAGCCTCTGCATGGGGTTCAGCTGGAGTTTGTATTTCTGTCAGAAGATCAACGAGGGAGTCATGAAACAAGTTCCTCGTCTTCTCAGCTCGCAGGTGGTCTCCGATCGGGGGCCTCCAGTTGTCATCGACCCCTCGGACAACAAGGCAGTCCGGCACTATGTTTATGTGGACAACCTGGGGGTTCTTTCGGGCAACCGTTGCCTGTGGAGGAGAGCGTCGCTGAGCTCACTGAGCTGTTCACAGGCAAGGGGCTTATCCTCCATCCTGCGGAGATTCAGAGTGGCAGAGTGAAGACGCTAGGAGTCGAGTTGGACGGCCAGAAGCTGCGTACTCGGGTCCTTCCAGAGCGCTTGCACGCCTTGCGTTCAGGAATCAGAGGCCTAATTCAACGTGGCAGCTGCAGTGGTCGCACCCTGGAGGTCATCATTGGTCATGCCACTTTCTGCGGCTTGACGGAGAGAAGGCTCCCATCAGTTTTCCACTCTGTTTACAAATTCATTACCCACTTTTGGGAATCCGCACGATGTGAGCTCCGCGCTTTTGTGACGTGTCGGAGGAGGGATGTGGCGTCGTTGGCGCCAGCTTCAGCACCGAGCATGTGGCCAAGGTCGGGCGAGTGTCTGAGAGGAGCCGCTTTCGGCGGGTTTCAAGCCACAATGCTCGGGAGAGCGCTCTCACAGCCGCGGGTTTTGTGAGAGACGAGGCCACTGGAGACTGGGTTGCTGGTGAACTTGGAACTCCGGAGGCGGCCGGTTGGGAACTCGATAAGTCCTTTCCTGAAGTGCCAGCCTCTATATGTTGCACAAACACCTCTGGGCCCCAAAGCTCTGGGGAAGGTGGAGGAGACAAGAACACATCGGCATCTTGGAAGCCAGGGCCTTGGTCAAGTCGATGCAGAGGGTCGCCAATACGCGACATGGGTTTGGAATCCGCCAACTTTTCATCGTTGACAGCATGTCCGTCGCTCTCTCATTCGAAAGGTCGAGGAGCCGAAGTTTTGGTTTGCTTAGACGTGTCAGAAAGCTCTCTGCTTACTGCATTGCTTGCAACATTAGCACTTCAGTGCGGTGGGTGCCCTCAGAGTTGAATTCAGCAGATGAGCCAAGCAGAGTTTCTTCAGATGTCACTTCCAAAACTTTGACTGCGCGAATCCCTATTGGCCATGGACTCCGGCAATCCTTCGCTGGCCGGGACGAGAGTTCGAATTCTGAAGCGCCCAGTGGAGAGCAGGAGTCAACCGGGGCCAACAAGGAGGCGCACCCTAAAAGGCCAGGTGCAGGCGACAGAGGTCCGAAGCCAGAACCCGTCGGTGCCCGACTTCCGACGAGCGTGGCTCATCTCGACCTTTAGCCGGCCCCGAGAAGAGACCATGGGCCAGCTGACCGAGAAGGCCGCGCCGGTGGTGGATGTCAGCAGAGAGAGGGACAGCGACGAGTCGAGCTCGAGCATGGAGGATGTCAAGCCGAAAGCCAGGGAGAGAAACCTGGCGAGGCGAAGC